TTCAAGCTGCTTCAGATGATACCTATCTCATGCCAAATGGTCACTGCCACTTCTGACACTTCCCTTGTAAGAATTCAGCAGTCGCTGAGACAAATTCACATCAAACAATAATAGACGCCTAACCCTGTTTGCATTTCTTTCAAAGACCTGATGGAAGAAACAGGATAATAAAGGACCATTCACAATAAAGTTTCGAAGAATAAATGCATATATGGTAATAACCATTATGTACAACTCGTCGCTGTGTTAGACTTACCAAAGTAGCTCCCACCATCCCAGTTGGTATGCTACTCGCCAGAATCACTGCCGTGAAGAATGCTGGGCGTAGGGGAGTAAACTGTTGAGCCATTGCTATACCATAAGCCATGCAGCAAAGGACCTATCATTAGAAGTTGAACAACGACAATTACAATAATAAACTCAAACAACTACCTCGTGGATCATTATAGCAAATACCAAATTCATGAACTCGCGCTTTTCATGCTGAAAAAGTGACATGAGCCGACGGAATGCTCCAATGAGTTTGTATTACCTGGACTCCCAATGCAACTCCTTCGAAGAGGGAATGAGTGGATAGACCGAATAATAAGAACAGCGTCCGTGCCGATATTCCCTCTTGTGGAGGTGAAGCGTGAAGCATCCGACTATGAGAAGAGTGTTCGACAGGAGATGCCTACAACATATATTACGTACTTAAAGCTACGAAGCTTCAATTTAATTACCGATCTGAACACTATGTCCTGCATTCCATCGTCGTGATCATCGAGAGTCGTGTCCACAAGCGGTTGACCGTCTTCCGCTTCTCCTTCTAGCAGCGATCGCAGTGATGGTGGAGCATTGACACCAGCAGGTGATGTTTTCGCATTTAATTGAGCACTACAGCAACTCAAAGCAACCTGAATGTACTGTCATGATGCACACAATTTATCAGTAAGCAGAGATTATCGTGCGGACATAATCCTTGACATAAGCGAATGATGAAGTTACCTGCTCAATGATCAGCATCATCAAAAAACCCAGCATAACCATCAGTTCTGTGCTCAAGAATATGTCTCGCTTGGTAGTCTCGCCAT